AAACAAACTATTTTCTAATTTAAAAAACAATTTGAATATTAAAATAAAAAAATTTCGTGATGAAATAAATAGGAATCTAATATTAAAACATGATTGGACAAAAGTGGATTTACTAAAAATAATGAAAATTTTGTAGTTTTTTTTTAATTTAAAAAAAAATATATTATTCAAAAATAAATCTAATAATACTCTTCCCTTCCTTTTTCCTATAATAAATAAAATTTTATCATTATTTCATATTAAAAAATAGAGAAAATTTGATAAATTCAATAATAAACAAAAATCTTATTGGGTGACCGACCTTATTAACTTAATAAAAGCTGTTTCTTTTGAAAAGTTACACCTAAAAATAAAATATTTATTATTAGTTAAAGGATTCTCATTAAAATTTATTAAAGTAAAAATTCTTTTTTTTATTAAAAAATCAATTTTTTTGTGTTTATACAAAAACTACCTGAATAACTACCATTAAACCCTTAGAAAATCATTTTTCTCTTGCAAAATTACATATATTTTTGCTATTAAAACTATATATTTATCCAAACTTTTAAAAGGGTCTCAAAAAAAGTTCATTTTTTAACGTAAACTTCTTGTATATGCGAAGAGAAAAAAAAAATTTCAAAAATGGAAAATTAACTTCAGAGACTAGTAAAGCACATGATGTTCTATCAAATTACTTAATTTGTATGGGAGTTACATATTAAAATTGACGGTTTATCATAAAATGAAGTAACTCAAATATGGTTACAAGAATTTTTTTTAATATGAAAATGATTTGCATATTACATGCGCGGTGATTGTTATGATATATGACGATTATTAATGAAAATAAAAGTTTAGAAATCTTGAATGAAAATTTATAATTTATAGTCCAGTCTTAAATATATTAGCCTAAAAGGACAAACATCAAGAAAAAAAAAATGCACCAATATTATCAAATATTCATAATGTTTATTCATATAAAATATGTTCAGAATTTGGATACAAATAACGTTAATTCTAATAATAAAAAAAATAATAATTTAATTAAAATAGAAAACATGTCGTTATAAAATTTCTAAAAAATTATGCCTCTTGTTTCACGATTTTTTCGATAACTTCGGTGACTGGACGAGGAGTAAAACTAAATTTATCATTATCTAAATCTTTATATTGTTCGTTTTGCACAAGGGTGGCCTTGAAGTTTTCTTCAGGAGAAGGAATTGGTTCGACCTTGTTTTTGTATCTATGTTTTACTTCTTCATCTACAACTACTTCCCATTTTGAGCCTTCATGAATGTATAATTATTAGCCCAACATTTTTAAATAAAATTGCGTTAGAAAAAAAAGATGTACTGTAATGCTCACCAGAAACTTCTTCAAACTTTTGAAGGTACTCATTTAATGACAAGGTAGCCCCAGCTACTTTAATAACAGCATTACGAGCTTCCGGCATTTTAAGCGTCTCTACGGTATATTTGCCAACATCAGACAAAGAAGTGGTATGTAACTTTTTATTGCCATCCGCGTAGAACGTAGCTTTTTTATTCTTGACGTCAAATCCAAACCAGCCAAGAAATTCTTGAAATAATCCAGTAAAGATGAACGTGTATTCAAGCCCACTTTTAACAACTTCTTCTCGAAATTTGATTTTACCATCAATGAGAGGATTAACTCCAATTCTTCATATAAAAAAAAAAAAATTAGTAATAAATAATTTATAGTTTATAATCAATATGCATAAATAAAACAAACGTACTTATTAAACTCGCCACCAAATTCGGATGGGATGAACCTCTTCACAGAAGCTTCTTTAGCAGCAGCCAATAGTGGAACCTGAGTATCGTATAATGAGGTACCATTTACAGCACTGACAAAAACATCTGTTCCTTTAAGTACTTTGACTAAATCATCTTTTTGATCGTAATCCGCATATACAATTTCCGCACCCTTAGAAGCTAACAATTTAGCTTTCTCATTTTCAGTTTCTGGTTTTCTTCGAAGAATCTTCAAATTATAAGATCCATCGTTCAAGAAAGCCTCAGCAATATGATAACCTAAAGTACCCGTACCTCCAGCAATAGCTACGGTCTTAAATTGTGAGCTCATTTTTTAATTGAGTTGTATAATTTTTCTTTTCTAGAAATTTTTAAAAAAAAAATTTTAATGTAATTTATCGCATTTTATCGTGTACAAAAAAAAAACTATTATTACTAATACGGATACTATAAATGTAAAAAGTCGGGCGTTGATCGTCATTTTAGAGTTCATACGGATATCCAAATATCCGTAGATATCAGGATATATTCGGATAACGAAATTATTTTGCAATAATGCATAAGTTAACGGAAATTTTACCATAAAAGTGTTAAAAAATTTAATTTAAATCACAGAAGTAACTAGAATTTTATATTATTAATTTTAATTTGGACTTAAAAAGCTTTTACTATTTCACAATGGGTTGTATTATGACAGGATTTACACCTGCCGCGTGTCATTTTTTATAAGTATCTGACGCTGACAAATCATAGTTCGCCCCTGCTTTTTGCCCTGTTGATCTCAACGCACGTCATTTACTTATATTCTGACATCTTTTCTTAATCATTAGAATTCTTTCATAATGAACTACTGAAAACTTCTCGGAATTCAAAGAATATAATGTGCAAATGATAAACTCTCGTTGAAAATTAATTGTATCTTTATTGTCATACGTGATACATTACAGAACCTAATTCAACTGTGTATTGTCCACCGCAGTACTACACCCAATGATTATTAGAAAAAAGAACAGTATTTAGATTCTGAGTTCGTGTAATTTTTTCTTTAGCAAAAAAGATTTTCCTCTTACAACCTGGTGATATATCAAATGAAACATTCATAAAGTTAAGTTCATGTTTAAATTCTCGACAATGGAATCGATACACTTCAAATTATAATCTATCTTTCTTTACCTTTGTTGATAATTTCAACAATTGTGTGATTTGCAAAGTGAAAGTGAGATGATATTCTTCATTATAAATCCTGTTAGCAATATACTTAGTCCACTATTATTAACTACTTTACACTTTTTTGTATAGTGTTGTAAATGATAATGTATATTATTAAATATTTTAAAAATATTTATAATACTGTAATCAAATAATGTTGTTATTAAGTAATTAACCAATTTAATATTTATGCATTTTACCTTGAATGTATGATACTCCATATAAAAATAACCTATACTTTATCCCTTCTATAGTCACCAAAATAGCACATTTACGTTAGCTCAAGTTACTAATAAACTTATTAAAAAAACCCTAATCGTGAGGAAAGAAACAATAGCAGATGGCGTATAAACGACTATGAGATTATTAATATTTTTTTTTTAAAATGGCTACTATAAGTTGGGCGTTGAATTGTCATTTTTTCCACAATAATGCATAAAATTAACGCTAATATCGAAATGATCAGATTCAGTCATATAGTTCGCTAATCCATTAGCTAAAACCTTTTAACATAAAAGTTGTAATTTGAGGAATGGGTAATCATATTTTTGCTTATTAATTATTATAATTAATTTTTTTTTTTGGGAAATTTTTATTTTAAATACGATGATTTTTGATAGTCACGTCACGACGTCACGTTACATACAAAAATATAATACCTATAATGGAATATTAAATCATTGTATGATTAATGTTTCAAATTATTAATAAAAGTTATTAAAAAAAAAAATCAATTATTTTAAAAATCATAATAATTGTATTATTGTAAATTAAATAAAAAAAAAAATAAATTTTAAACTTCCTATCTGATCCTTTAAATTAAAACAAAAATAATATTTTTTATTATTATTAAAAGAAGCTAGTATATATATAATAAAGTAATCTTATTAACTAATTAATTAATTAATAATAAAATATATAAGTTTATGTTAACACGATTTGAATAATTGATTAAGCTCCATTTTTTTAATAAAAAAAAATTAATAATTAAATTAAATTAGATACATGGTTATGAAAGAATGATTGATTCAAGTATGATATAATAATCAGTTGGTTATCGTTTAGTTAAAAAAAAGTATTATTCTATGGCAATAAAAAATATTGTCAATTTTTAAACCACAAAAAAAGATAAATAAGGACCTTTTATCTGACGCGTAGATGGGTGGTCATCGGAATCATGTGATAAAAGTACTGCGATTTTTTTTTGGTGATATAATGACTCGTGCTTTTTTGCTTTAACTATTTCTACAATGGTTTGTGAGGATCGTGGAGACTATGGACGCCATAATACCACGTGCCCTCAGAATTTTGCCCATTCGTTCGTAATGAACTTCTATAATAGACAAAATGTAGAAGAGTAAGACTAACGGAATAAATTCTTGAAATTTAAATATCATCAAAATATACTGTACATAATGTATAAATAATAACTCTCTCGTTGAATTATTTGAATTATTTGTAGATTTAAATTATTGAGTCATATATATTCGAACTTTTATGCGAATTTTTTTGATAAAATGAAAGTTTCTAATTTACAATATGATTATTTCTGTTTTCATTTATAATATATAAAATAACTTATGTATTTTCGCTGCAAATAATTAGGATTGACTTAATTAAAAATAATGAGGGTAAAAAAATTTGCTAAAAAAAAAAATGTTTTTTAAAAAAATTGTACGAACTCATAATCAAATCCTCTTACAGTTTGGATTCATTTTTAATAGATCAAATAAAATATTCATAAAAGTTATGGTTCCTTAAGTTCATATTAAATGGTTGATGGATTGATGCACTTCAAATTATTATCCAACTTTATTTGCATGGTGAACAATTAATGTAATATTCATCCTGTGAGTTATACCATATATACCGTAACTGATGATGTACAGTATATCACTATGATAAGATGCGATTTTATATTTTAATTCTACGATATATTATGTATAATATTTGTAGTTTAACTTGAATAGGATATTCTGTGTATAAAAATTACATGCTATAATAACTGTATACATATGGGACTTACATATTATAATGTTATGACGACTTGACAAAGTAAAAAAGCAAGGTTGGACGATATTCAAAATATGTAAGAAATTATATCTGATCGTGATTTTAATTTCTACTGTTATATTATCGAATACAAATAGAATCTTCACTAACACTTGCGAAATAATTTAACTAGAAACTATCAGTTGTATAAATTGTTACACGATTACAATAACTGGTGAGAGTAATTACGATCTTTTTAATTATGGCTTTACGAAATATAATGATATGTTTATTCAAATCGTATAATATCAATTTCATAAAACTATAAGGCAAACATTAAACGGACTCAGATTAACTTACTTAATAATATATATTTCTATTTAAACTAGGGAAATGGAATTATTGCAAGTACGGAGTGAAAATATCAGAAATACTTAATAATTTATGGTTCAATCTTGACGTTTTAAAGTTATATTATAATTAAACGTGTCGCATACACGGTAATCTTGTGACCTCCGATTTCGTAAAAGTACAAATCCGGGAGTTGATGTTAAGGCCACACAAATTCGAATTTTCGGTTCACTTCACCCGGCCGGGTCACTTTTTCAAATTTCAATAAAAAAAAGTTTATATATAAAAAGTTTATCACGTGATCAGGACGTAATTTTATTGGCGGGTAAATTTATCACGCGGCTGAGAACTTCTAGAGCGAAAATAAATTCCTCCCTTTTAAAAGTCAACCAATCAAATGTCACGATTTTATATATAAACTTTTTTTACTAATAAACAATAAACCCCGGGTCCCCGGGTCGATTTTAAATTTCAATGTTACGTGAACCGAAAAATTGAATTTGTGTGGCCTAATCGTTAATTTACGTGCTAAACATTTTTATTTTGGAAGATCTATTTCAAAATTCTTAAATCTGTAAGCCTAAAAGAATGCATCAATATATTAAGAGATTCACTGCTATATATTCGTGAGAAGTTATTTAAATTTTGTTTTATTAAAAAAAAAAAAAAAATAGGTTCAGGTAGAATTTTGGATACAAATAACGCACGTTAATTCTGACGATACAAAAAATAATAATTTAATTAAAATAGAAAGCATGTCGTCGTGAAATTTCTAAAAAAATTATGCATCCTGTTTCACGATTTTTTCGATAACTTCGGTCACTGGACGAGGAGTAAAACTAAATTTATCATTATCTAAATCTTTATATTGTTCGTTTTGCACAAGGGTGGCCTTGAAATTTTCTTCAGGAGAAGGAATTGGTTCGACCTTGTTTTTGTATCTATGTTTTACTTCTTCATCTACAACAACTTCCCATTTTGAGCCTTCATAAATGTATAATTATTAGTCCAACATTTTTAAATAAAGTTGCGTTAGAAAAAAAAGATGTACTGTAATGCTCACCAGAAACTTCTTCAAACTTTTGAAGGTACTCATTTAATGACAAGGTAGCCCCAGCTACTTTAATAACAGCATTACGAGCTTCCGGCATTTTAAGCGTCTCTACGGTATATTTGCCAACATCAGACAAAGAAGTAGTATGTAACTTTTTATTGCCATCCGCGTAGAACGTAGCTTTTTTATTCTTGGCATCAAATCCAATAAAGCTAAGGTATTCTTGGAATAATCCATTAAAGATAATCGTGTATTCAAGTCCACTATTTATTAATTCTTCTTCAAATTTGATTTTATTGTCTGGAGTTGGATGAACTCCGACTCTATTATTAATATTAAGAAAAAAAAAAAATTCTTTAATTTTATCATCAACATGAATTAACAAAAAAAAAATAAAAAAATACCATACTTAAACTCGCTACCAAATTCGGATGGGATGAACCTCTTCACAGAGGCTTCTTTGGCAGCAACCAACAATGGAACCTGACTTTCGTAAAGATTCGTATTTTTATAACTTAAAACACTGATTACGACGTCTGTCCCTTTAAGAACTTCAACTAGTTCATCTTTTTGATCGTAATCTGCATATATAATTTCTGCGCCCTTAGAAGCTAATAATTTAGCTTTCTCATTTTCGGTTTTAGGTTTCCTTCGAAGAACCTTCACATTATAAGATCCATCGTTCAAAAAGGCCTCAACAATATGATAACCTAAAGTACCCGTGCCTCCAGCAATAGTTACAGTTTTGAATTGTGAACTCATTTCGAATTTTGGATTAAGATTTTTATTATTTGTATACTTTTTTTTACAACAAAAGATTTTAGTACCATTTTATTATATATATTTATCTTTAAAAAAAAAAAAANCTTACGTTATTACAAAAGTCTTTGTTCTTTAAAAAAAAAAAAAAAAAAGAAAAAGAAAAAAAGGAAAAATTAAAATGATATAATAATCGTGAGAAATTACTAATATTCATAATTGTTTCCTTGAATTTTATCATGATTATAATTATAAATACTGTATAACAAAATCGGCAGAAATACAGCTTACAAATGATCAATCATTTGTAATTTGGCCATTTGTCATCAAGTGATCTGCTTTAACCTTCCATCTATAGTAAAACAATGAAACATAGAGTAATGGATTGTGTCATACCAAAGGTGCATCTCTAGAATAATCGATATCTATAATCCCGGAGTATGCATCTATACATCAAATCCAAAAAGGAATATCATCTTTTATGGAGGTTAACATGATTTAAAAAAATTTAACCAACATTTGATAGACAATCAGAGTTTATCATTGACGGAAGTTCATGTATTTTTCGGTATTTTATTTTTTTTAGTTACGGTTTAAGGGATATGTTCTAATCCTGTCAACTTAAGAAGACATGTTCAACGAAATTATACCAATCAAAGTTATATAAATCCTAAATTTTTTGAAACTCAAAATTGTTCGTAAACTTAACAGTTAACCGAAAAATTCGATATATAATAGTATTATTAGTATTATTCTGGGAATTAATAAGTCGTAAATCACTTTTTGATTTTGAAACAAAAAGTAATGATCTTTTTGAAATTTTTAAAATTAAATCTGATATCCTTAACGGTAAAAGAGAAAAACCTCTTTCAGGCACAAATTATAATCTTGTTGCACTCTATAAAAGTAAGTATAACACTACGCAATGACTCTAAAAAAATCTTTTCTTATCGTAAGTTTATTAATTTTTGCTTTATTCAAATGGAAAGTTGGCAACACGAACCATATAAAAGACCGGACATTCATCAAGTAATTTTAATACTGAATCTATGATAAATGTGACAAATAATTTTAATTTTGAAGAAATTGAAATAACAGAAATTATGATGACCAAGTTGTGATGGTTGACATAAATTCATATTATTTGTAACTTTACACAAATTATTTTTTTATTGAATAAAAATATAATGTATGTAGACTTTAATTAATTGTGTCGATGCTTGATATCTTCCTATCGACTCATCGATCTTTTTTTTTTAGATAATTTATTTTCAGCGTAAAGAATGAATCTCTTTTTATACTCAATTTAAGATTATATGTTGTAGAGCATATAAGTCCACAGTGTTAAGTAAAATTTTTGTTGTAAATGTTTATTAATGTCTCGAAGCTTTGAATCACATTTATAGACTGTTAATGTAAATTTTTGATGGAAAAGATTTTTTTTACGACTAAAAAAATGGAGAAAATAATTTTTTGCGACCAGAACTTTATGATCAAAATTATTTTTTTGTGATTTGGTATATGCTAAATGGTTGCTAGGGGGAAATTATGCGTGCTCCCCTTGGCTAACTATCTGTAGTCCGATGAATCAGAAATTCTGGTTTCTTCTGTAATGCAAAATATTGATTGAAATAATTTTTTCGATCAATCTTTTTTTGGTGAAAATAATTTTAGTAAAAATTCTCAAAAAAACGGGAATAAAACTAGGAACACTATTTAAGTTCTGGATTGAGTTCCTATTTTGCGTCTTTACCTGAGATCAATCAAATCCTATTTTCCAGTTTCATCTACCTTAATATTTAGGATGGATGTTTTGTGAATAATATCAACATCATTGAAAGTAACATGAAGAATGGATCCATAAAAAATTATAAATTTGAGCTCGTCAGAATGAACTGAATTTCTTTTATTTCTTTTCAAACCTCTTCGTAACGAAAATTAAGTGGAACTTGTCTTAGAATTATGTCGGTATGGCCAAAACGTATATTAAGGAGATTATTCATCTACAGTAATATAAATGTATATATTTTCATGAAACGAATCGCGCTATAATTTGTATACTGTATAATAATATGGTTGGGAAATAGTAGTCTATATAAATGTCATTTCTCTTTTTTTCATCCCATAAAGTAAGAACAAGAGAATATATATATCATCAATAAAACCAAGTACTAGACAACGTTTCGAATCACTAGATGCATTTAAAACACAGAAAAAATCTGAATTTCAAGTATATAACGAGTAATAAAATAGTCTTTTCTTACGTATATCATGAAGAATTCCAGACTGATATTTTTTTTTTAATAAAGTAAATTTTACACTAAATCAAAATAGACGTGAAATTACACGTCAAAATAATATGATTAATTAATCTCAAGCCAACATCTATTTTTAATATCTCCAGTCTGTTATATTTATAGAATTTTTTATCCCTTCCTTGAACTTCTCAGGAACGTAAAAAAAAAGAAAAAAAAAGATAATCATTCTTAAATGATTGCGTTACATGATTGCGTTGATTGGCATCAGAAGTGATTTTTATTTTCGCTTATAAACATTCTTTGAAATAGTTTGTCATCGTTTATCAGAAAATTATCTTCTTGACGTCTCGATGTAGCTGATGATCCGAATACTCTATCAGTCTATGAAGGGAAATCTTTGATTTCATTTTCTTTGTTCTCTGGAAAGGAAACGATTCCAAAGGAATCCAGAAATCACTTTTTTTTTTCATTCGATTCAATGCAGAAAGTATAACATAAGATCAAAGCCTTCTCAGAATCGATTTAATCTTGAAAGATCTTTCTTAAATCTACGAAAAAAACAAAAAAGTTAATACTTGGTTTTAAAATGATCGTCTGGACACTTGTTTCAATAAGTATAAGCTGCAATTTGCTTAATAAATTTGGTGTCCATAGACTGTTCCTATACAAGCTTCAAACAATATAATATACTGTATATCGACTATGGAAATGTTACATCAGAATCCAAAATCGAAAAACGTTATAATAGGAAATCATTAATCGAGGTTTTACGTTATCCAGAATCTTTTTAAGTTAAAGATGCAAGTCGAATCCTAAAAAAAATCAAGTTTTCATTAAATAAGAATCCACTTTTTATGTTTTACTCTTTTCTTACGATAGAACATGAGAAAAATACCTTTTTTAAAACGTGACATTTCCATAGACTGATAAAACGATTCTCTAATTTTCTCTTGTATTAATTTCATCTCTTCTCGCAGCAACAGGATTATTATATTTACTTCTCTTTGTTTTTCCTTCCTCTTTTATTCGTTTATCTGGTGCATGCGTTATACTCGGCGGTTTGTCATTTGACTTTCTTTATTATCGTCTGTTATAAATTCTGTGACTTCTTTTGACGAAATCTTTATCTGAGTTTGCTCCTCTTTCCGAGATTCCATTGAGCTGGATCTTGATTTGTCGACCTTATCTTCATCTGCCGAATTTTCTTCCAATCTCTCTCTCCTTTGATTTATAGCCGTTTTCAAAATGGTTGATGCTATTTATTTATAATTAAATATTCGAATACCAATATCCGTCCGGTTTTCGTCCATTATTTATCCGGTTTTCATCCGGTTTTCGGTTTTCATTTTTTTTTCATCCAAACATAATAGCATCAACCATTTTGAAAACGGCAATAATTTTCAGTACGCGCCACTTCAATAACATAGATTTATCTATGCCTTGTTTAGAACTATACTTCGACTTTCCAGTTGTAGTGCAAGGACGGCATTATATGCGGGTAGTAGTCTCCATCGCCGGCTACTAATATCAGAATACCGAGGATACATCGATACAACAGATTCAATGGCGTGTCCTAGCGTAGTATCTACCATGGCATATACGGCCTATACGAAATTCTTCTAATTGAGGGCCCCTTGATGAACTGCAACCTAACATTTCTCTGGTTCCGACTGCAAATTTACCTTCAATGAATAAATTAGAATCATCAACGAACACGTATCTGTCAAGCTTCGGTAGAATTTGAATGGCTACGCGGTAATATCCTTTATTAACTTGATAGGAAATTTCTTTTATTTTCGCCCTAACTCTTCACCGCCTAGTACTCCTTAATGCCCATATTAAATGGTATATAGCCTCTAACGAGTCCTGGCTTCCTGCCTTCTTTCGATACTCTCTTTTAAGAAGATTTATTTTCCATATAGTAAATTCATCTTGTTCATCAACTTCATAATCTTTGTTTACCTTAATTTTCTCTCTAAGAACATCAATAGTATCTTCTTTTTCGAAATTGTAGCTTCATATGACGTGCCTACAATAAAACAGCTGAGAGATGGCATATTGACGATACATCATTATATTTTCAATCTATTTTGGGAACTGTTTACACATGTCACAGTATAAAATAGGAGATTATAGTGTCATAAGTCCGGATTATTCATGGTTCAGATGCAAAAGTATTTCAGAGTGGCAAAAATTATCTTTTTGACCTTGTATGACATCTTTTTTTGACCCTCCTATATGTAATACAGTATATGCGGGTCAAAAAAATAACACGAGGAGGGTCAAAAAGGTAATTTTTACTTCAGAGTGACGATCATCTCTCCCAAAGAATACATTTGTGCGACAAAATTAATAATGTCTGTACAACCGAGTTTTTTGATTTCATGTAATACAAATAAATATATGTCGTTAACGTGTTCAGGGAACTAAATCATTTGATTTACTGTACGTACAGATCATATGTTAATTATGTTATGCTTACTATTTTGCGCCACTTTAGTCTATGTAATCTTCTTTTACTCATAATTAATTATCAAGACCATAATAATTTAGCAATATATTTTTCATAACAAAGTAAAACAAACGTATATTGTAATGTTACTTATAAAATAAAAATCACTATTCGAAACTCGAAAAATGAAAATTGGTTGGCCAAACTGAGAAAAAACTAACGACAACATATAAGATTTACTCCCCATTTACATGATAATCTTTCTCATATACAATATTAGAATACGTTGGGGAATTCAGTGACTTCAAAAGCATCTTTTCTGGTGGCTCTGACCGAAAATATTCTTCCAAGAGAAGGTGCATTTGGTATCCGATAATTAGTCTGAAATCCGTTGTTGCCATAAGCAACGTTGACCGCAACATCCATAGAGTTATCAGGGTGAGTAACGATGAAAAAAATTGACACGGAAGGCAGGGCGGCATTGGGAAAAGGTCTTAATTCATTGTGCGCATTACGAATACCTAATTCAGAAATTGGAAATTATGAAAGACAGAAAAAGAAAATGAACAGATTTATGAAAGACAAAGAAAGAAAATGAACAGAATTGAATTATTTTTATCAAACATACGTGTAATCATTACGTTCTTATCAAGATTACGATTAGCTAAGTTGATCTCACTCCACTCGATGATTATTAAAGTCGGATCATCATGGTTTGCTTGAGTTTCGCCAAATATGTTATGATTCCATTTAAGGATCTGTTCTTGTACTTCAGTACTAAAATGATCTAACTCAGGCATCGTTTTTTTAAAAAAAGTATATACAGGTATATGTGAATGACTGGGTCTAAGGGAAGGAGGTTGTAAATAAGCAAAACGAAACCTCTAGGTAATATTAAAAGTAAGGATAATAAATGAGAAAGAGGTATTGTATTTTTCATCTTAAAAATTTTTCGGATTTTGTGGAAGCAATTATGTAAACCTTGTGTCAATTTATTCTAATTTAAACAATAGCAAAATAGCGATTTGATTGTCTTAAATTGCTATTGTTCTATTTTTGGTACATTTATATATTTTGATTGTTAAACGTATTTAACGCGAAAGAAAATCAATTTTTTTCTTACTCCTTAAAATCGATCAAAAAAAAAATAAAAAAATCGTTCTCAAATGTACTAATTATTATAAAATAATTACTTTGTTATAAAATAATTACTTCGTTATAAAATAGTTACTTTGTTATAAAATAATGACTTTGTTATAAAATAATTATTATTATTAATAATAATTACTGCACCTGGGGGTACAGATTCTTAACTTGTACCCCTCAGAATTTGATTGGCCCACACGATACTTTAAACATTTTTATTATTTTTATTCGAAGAAAAAATTCGCACGAGTATGTATTAGCTTATAATAAAAATTCAACCGAATTTTTCATTATTCACTTAAGAAAATTTTGCACGATACCAAATTTTATTTTCTAACTAATTTTCATCATTTTTACGGATAATAAGAACAATAACTTTTTAATAATTAAATGCAATAGTACGCTATACACTTTCATACAATATACTTCTTGCTACCATACAACCATTCTTATCTAATAAATCAGACTTCCCAAAACTATCCCCTTATAAACTAAGAATAGGCCGAACTATTTTAAGAAAGAATAAAGTAATATATTAAAAATTATTTTCTTCTTGTTTCCAAAATAATTTGCGATCTTCTTGTGTAGGGATTATAAAATTAAATTTGTTAATTATTTAATATTTAATGATTTTTAAGATAAATTCCGAACAAAAAGGACATTTGCTACCTATTAAATAATTAAATTTAATTTTCTCGAAAAAAAGTAACAAACCTGAAGAAGAAGTTGGCGTATCAATAGAATTATCATCTTCTTTACCTGAATTGTTTTTTTTATCATAACTTAATATATAAAATATTTATTAAACAAAAAAAAATATAATTAAAGGAATTTCGCACAAACTTTCCAAATGTAACAAATTTATAGGATCGTTTTCTTTCCTGAATTATTTTCTATTTGAGGATAATCATTAAATTTTTAATAAAAAAATGTTGTATTTAGCCAAACCTTGAGGATTATTTTTCTTTTCTTCTTCATTAGCCTGAGATGTATTTTGTTGACGAGATGTTAATGCAGCCCTTTTAGAAGGTCTAGTGGTTTCAGTCCCACTTTTAATTCATTTTTTTGAAATGCGTCCTTGATTATCATTTAAAATAAAAATTATTAATTAATAAAATATTTATTTAAAACAAATCATACCTTTTGGCTTTGTTGTTTCTGGATTTTTAGTCTTTCCAGTTTGTGAATTTTTTTGAATTTCCCTCTAAAACATAGAGGTCTTTTACTGAATTATTGAGTAAATGTAAAAATTTTTTGCTGTTTCAGGTTTGATCTCCAACCTTTATACCAAATTCGAAAAGGAAAGTAGTAGTGGCTGTGTTAGATTAAAGATAGATAAAAAATAACGTGAAATTTAAGGGTAAACCCCTGGAACAGGTTAAGTGTGCTTGACACGTCTAATATTTCATAGAGGGTCACAAGACGTTTTTTTTATATACTGTATGATTAATAACGAATAATACACGTTCACGATTCTCAAATTTTTTTTTTAGCAATCAACGTATAAACCAACAAAAGTTGGGCTCGTGATCTATAGTGTGGCGTCTAAATTTTGATTGGTTGATATGCAGATTCTTTACTTACACTGCAGTACTAAATATTCGAAATTTAACCATTTTTCGCCGGAAATAGAAGTTCATTTAGATCAAAGAAAATTGCAACGTTTTACCAAGGCGTAATGATGATTTTATAAGAGAGAGTCATATGATTTATAACGTGTTCTCGATTATTTTTAGCATAAAAAATTTCAGTTACATACAAACGGTTCGCGTCTCCTAGTTATACCTGTTTAATACCACTATACCAGAAATTTCTTACGAGAAGTAACAACAACACACAGTTACAGTATATATAAAATATTAAATATTCTTTTATTCATAAGAAATTATCAATAAATAAATCGTAATCTTCAATTTTTTTATTTATTTTATGAAGGAATAATGTTCGTTAAATTTTCGTATAAAATTACAAATAATACAGAATTTTTTTTTAAAAAAAAACATAATAATCTAAGAATTATATTTATCGGAATTTATGTCACAATCATCACAGCTTGGAAAGTCAACATCTTCATTTTCTAATTTTTCTGTTGTTACGATTTCCGTTTTTTCGATTTTTTCAATTTTAAAATTATTTGATATATTTTCAATATTATTAATTTCTGAAATTACTTGACGAATATCTGGTCTTTCATCTGGTTCATGTTGCCAACATTCTATTTAAATAAAGTTAAAATTAAAAATTAAACTTAGAATAAAAAAAAAAAATCTTTTAAAAATTATTGATTAATGTGATACTTACTTTTATAAAGCGTAACAAAGTTATAATTTGTACCTGAAATAGGTTTTTCTCTTTTACCATTAAGGATATCAGACTTAATTTCAATAATTTCCAAATAATTATTATTTTTTGTTTCAAAATCAAAAGGTGATTTACAACTTGTTAATTCCCAGAGCAATACTCCCAAACTGTATATGTCTGATTTTTCGGTTAAGACATATGAATGATTTTGAGTTTCAAAAAAATTAGGATCCATATAAGGTATTACACCTCGTACTTCAGTATCACTAACTGATCCTTTTAGATATGAACGTCCGAAATCTGCTAGTTTTATTGTATCTTTTTGTATTAATATATTATTAGGATGCTGATAAAAAAAGAATGTATTAATTCGTGTTAAATGTAAAAGAATTATAAAATAATACTTATACAGTATACTTACAAGGTCTCCGTGTACGATTTCCTTATCAACATGTAACCATGAAATCGCACTTGAAATTTCTTTAGCAAATTTTAATTGGCTCTCCCATTTAAAAGTTATAGTATTATCTTTTAAATATTTTCCTAATGTTCCACCTTCTGCATATTCAAGTACAAGCGAATAATTTATTTGATCTAAAGTATTAAAAAACACGTGAACGAAATATTCACATAAAAAAAAGGTATTATAATAATTAAATAAATTATTTACCATTTAATTTCGTAACTCCATAAAATTGAATTATATTTGGATGAAGATTAACCAATCCCGTTAAATGAATCTAGAAAAACAAATACACGAATTTTAAAAATTTATTTAAATAACAATAATCAAATTATATTAGTAACATATCTCATACCTCATTAATAATGGCTTTTTCTTTAGAATTTCCGATAAATTTTTTAATTGCGAACTTTGATGTATCTTTCCAACATACATTATAAACCAAGACGGATGCTCCAGAAGAAATTTTATCGAGAATCTTAAAGCCTTGAGGATCATAATGATATACTATTTGTGATACCTCGCCATCCAATAATATCTTGAGCCTGTTTTTATGACACACTTCGAGATGCAGCTGTTATAATATAATGATTCGAATTACTAAAATAATATTAGAGTTGGCGCAGCAAAAGTATATTTTGCATTGTTTGATCTGATCTGCATTAATCTGCATTGCATTGTTGTATATGTAAACTAGGTTATTTGCAACAAAATCTTTTGCTGCGCCAGAAAAAAAAAACCATTTAAATATCGGCTCTTTCCCTCTTTTTGTTGTGGCGCAGTATTCTCGATAAACAAACTAATTATTTCTTTAAATTTTTTTATCAACTAGTACTGGTGCTTCACTGCCTCGAGATTTTGCTTTTTTTAAAAATATTTGAGTAATAAATTTTTTAAGATAACCAGAATAAAAAACAAAGAAAGACTTATATTCAAGTTCAAAGAAATGGTGAATATAATTTTTAAACCTAAAATATTGACCAAGAAATAAAAAAACGGAAAGAGGAAAGAAAAACATTGAAATAATATTAAATGTAGTTTTTATATAGAATTGCGCTACAAACGGATAATACTTTTTCCGCAATTACTGTCGTGTTACAAAACTACGCCTTATTTTCTTTGTTTCCCCAATAATGTTGAGAAACATTATAAAGTTGCACCATAATGCATGTAGTACGTATACCACTCCTTTTTGCAGTTATTCAAAAACGCAATCACGATCCGAAAGTAAACTGAAAAGATTAATAAATTTCTTTCTTTTTTTAATCCCGCGATTAATCTTGTCACTCATCAGTGATATATTGTAGAACCATGTAAAATTAATTTGCTCTTAACGATCTTTAATACAAATGTTCATGCAATCATGCATTTATATTGAAAGAATCGGAGTTTATGTATTAATTCCGAGTTCAAATAATATTTTGGCGTAATTTTCTATTTTCCCATAGATTTTTACTTACACTGCAGTACTAAATGTTTGAAATGGTCTGATCATTTAGCCATTTTTCGAAATAGAAGTTCATTTTGGATCAAAGAAAAATTGCAACGTTTTACCAAGGCGTAATGATGATTTTATAAGAGAGAATCATATGATTTCTTAACGTATTTGCGATTATTTTTAACATAAAAAATTTAAGTTATATACAAACGGTTCGCGTTTCCTAGTTTATACCTGCTTAATACCACTATATCAGAAATTTTTATTCGACAATAATAGCTCGTGTTCTACATATTACATAAGATGACCGTATTAATACGTCAAACTAAGGTATAGGCGCTGCCCCTATAAAAGTAGTTTCTATAATAGTAAAAATGAATTTATAAACCATTCGAAAATATTAAAATTTAAGGATTTTTTAGGTGAAAATTCTAAAATGATTTTTAAAACTTTATGCATTGCTGCATAAGTAATTGATATGTTGTAAAGAAAAGTGTTTAAAACATCAAGGTTATCATAATTTTTACTTCTCTGTAATAAATTCTTCGGTTGTACTTATATAATAATAATAAATTTTACGACGCAACAAATTTTTACGAGAAGTAACAACAACACAGAGTTATATATAAAATATTAAATATTCTTTTATTCATTGAAAATTATCAATAAATAAATTAATCTTTTTATTTATTTTATGAAGGAATAATGTTCGTATAAAATTACGAATAATACAGAATTTTTTTATAATAATCTAAGAATTATATTTATCGGAATTTATGTCACAATCATCACAACTTGGCAAGTCAACATCTTCATTTTCTAATTTTTCTGTTGTTACGATTTCTGTTTTTTCGATTTTTTCAATTTTAAAATTATTTGATATATTTTCAATATTATTAATTTCTGAAATTACTTGACGAATATCTGGTCTTTCATCTGGTTCATGTTGCCAACATTCTATTTAATTAAAGTTAAAATTAAAAATTAAACTTAGAATAAAAAAAAAAAAATCTTTTAAAATTATTGAGTAATGTGATACTTACTTTTATAAAGCGTAACAAAGTTATAATTTGTACCTGAAATAGGTTTTTCTCTTTTACCATTAAAGATACCAGACTTAATTTCAATAATTTCCAAATAATTATTATTATTTGTTTCAAAATCAAAAGGTGTTTTACAACTTGTTAATTCCCAGAGTAATACTCCCAAACTGTATATGTCGGATTTTTCGGTTAAGACATATGAATGATTTTGAGTTTCAAAAAATTTAGGATCCATATAAGGTATTACACCTCGTACTTCAGTATCACTAACTGATCCTTTTAGACATGAACGTCCGAAATCTGCTAGTTTTATTGTATCTTTTTGTATTAAGATATTATTAGGATGCTGATAAAAAAAGAATGTATTAATTCGTGTTAAATGTAAAAGAATTATAAAATAATACTTATACAGTATACTTACAAGGTCTCCGTGTACGATTTCCTTATCAACATGTAACCATGAAATCGCACTTGAAATTTCTTTAGCAAATTTTAATTGGCTCTCCCATTTAAAAGTTATAGTATTATCTTTTAAATATTTTCCTAATGTTCCACCTTCTGCATATTCAAGTACAAGCGAATAATTTATTTGATCTAAAATATCAAAAAACACGTGAACAAAATATTCACAGAAAAAAAAGGTATTATAATAATTTTAAAAATAAATTATTTACCATTTAATTTCGTAACTCCATAAAATTGAATTATATTTGGATGAAGATTAACCATTCCCGTTAAATGAATCTGGAAAAACAAATACACGAATTTTAAAAATTTATTTAAATAACAATATCAAATTATAATAGTAACATATCTCATACCTCATTAATAATGGCTTCTTTATTAGAATTTCCGATAAACTTTTTAATTACGAACTTTGATGTATCTTTCCAACATACATTATAAACCAAGACGGATGCTCCAGAAGAAATCTTATCGAGAATCTTAAAGCCTTGAGGATCATAATAATATACTATTTGTGATACATCGTCATCCAATAATATCTTGAGCCTGTTTTTATGACACACTTCGAGATGCAACTGTTATAATATAATGATTCGAATTACTATATTAATTAGAGTTGGCGCAGCCAAAGTGTGATCTGCATTTTGCCCTGTAACAAAATCTTTTGCTGCGTCAGAAAAAAAAAACCATTTAAATATCCTCTTTTTGTTGTGGCGCAGTATTCTCGATAAACAAACTAAGTATTTTTTTAAAATTTTATCAACTGGTACTGGTGCTTCACTGTCTCGAGATTTTGGTTTTTTTTTAAAATATTTATATTTGAGTAATAAAATTTTTTAAGTTAGCCAGAATAAAAAACAAAGAAAGACTTATTTATATCCAAATTCAAAGAAATGAAAGTGAATATAATTTTTAAACCTAGAATATTGACCAAAGAATTAAAAAAAAACGGAAAGAGAAAAGAAAAAACATTGAAATGTAGTTTTATAGAATTGCGCTACAAACGGATAATACTTTTTCCGCAATTACTGTCGTGTTACAAAACTACGCCTTATTTTCTTTTTTCTCCAATAATGTTGAGAAACATTATAAAGTTGCACCATAATGCATGTACAACCAAAACAGCAGCCTGTATAGTACGTATACCACTCCTTTTTTTTGCAGTTATTCAAAAACGCAATCACGATCCGAAAGTAAACTAAAAAGATTAATAAATTTCTTTCTTTTTTTAATCCCGCGATTAATCTTGTCACGCATCAGTGATATATTGTAAAACCATGTAAAATTAATTTGCTCTTAACGATCTTAATAAAGTTTATTATTTGAACTCGGAATTAATACATAAACTCCGATTCTTTCCATTTTTCCCATAGATTTTTTTACTTACACTGCAGTACTAAATGTCCGAAATGGTCTGATCATTTAGCCATTTTTCGAAATAGAAGTTCGTTTAGACAGTAGTGTTTACCAATGATTTAGTGTGTTAGTCACGTGATTGCTTAACACATTCTGTGATGATATTACGGACATCCAAACTATTTCCGCTTCCTAGAAATTAATAATATGCAAGTTAATTCTTATTCAACAATACTTGTTTCGAATGTTTCGTTCTACATAAGGTGGCCGGGTTAATACATTAAACTAAGGTATAAATGCCGCTCTTATAAAAGTAGTTTTCATAATTTTCTTTGAGTAAAAATGAATTTATAAAACATTCGAAAATAGTAAATAAATAAAAAATTATCAAACTTTTCTGCATTAAGTACAGTACTTAAAAAAAAAAAATCTATATGTTGTAAAAAAATTTTTAGTCAAAATACATCGTAATTTTTTCCTGCTCTTTCTGTAATAAATATTCGGTTGTTATTTTATTTATGTAAATTTATTACGCTATAATATGTTGTCAACTACAACTAGTTCGAATTCTTTCTTATAGTTATCAACAACGCACGTTTATAAATATTAAATGTTCTTTCATTCTTTGGATATTACTGTAATTTTTATATCTTATAAGGGAATAACGTTCATTAATGTTCTTACAAAATTACAAATAATACGAAATATAAAGAATTTTGAAAAAAAAAGATGAACCTATCTAAAATTTATATTTATCAGAATTTATGTCATAACTATCATTGCTTGGTAAACCAAAATCTTCTTCAATTAAATTATCAGTTGTTTCAATTTCTTCAAAATTAAAAGTATTTGATACATTTATAAATTCAGTATTATTAATTTCCGAAATTACTTGATGAATATCTGGTCTTTCATCTGGTTCATGTTGCCAACATTCTATTTAAATAGAAGTTGAAATTAAAGCAAATAAAACAAGTTTTTTATTAAAAACAATTGAGAAATGTGATACTTACTTCTATAAAGCGTAACAAATTTATAATTTGTGCCTGAAATAGGTTTTTCTCTTTTATTGTTAAAAATATCACACTTAATTTTAAAAATTTCAAAAAGATCATTACTTTTTGTTTCAAAATCGAAAGGTGATTTACGACTTGTTAATTCCCAGAATATTACTCCTAAACTATATATATCGGATTTTTCAGTTAAGCCATACGAACGATTTTGAGGTTCAAAAAATTTAGGATCCATATAAGGTATTACACCTCGTACTTCAGTATTACTAACTGATCCATTTAGACATGAACGTCCGAAATCTGCTAATTTTATTGTATCTTTTTGTATTAAGATATTTTCGGGATGCTTAAAGTAAAAAAATGTGTTGAATGCATATTAGATATATAATATTTAAATAAATTTTTTATATAAATACATTGTACTTACAAGGTTTCCGTGTATAATTCCCTTATCAACATGTAACCATGAAATACCACTTGAAATTTCTTTAGCAAACTTTAATTGGCTCTCCCATTTAAAAATTATAGTATTATCTCTTAAATATTTTCTTAATGTCCCACCTTCTGCATATTCAAGTACAAGCGAATAATTTATTTCATCTAAAGTATCAAAAAACACGTGAACAAAATATTCACATAAAAAAAAGGTATTATAAATAATTAAATAAATTATTTACCATTTAATTTCGTAACTCCATAAAATTGAATAATATTTGGATGAAGATTAACCAATCCCGTTAAATGAATCTGGAAAAATAAATTGACGAATTTAAAAATTTATTTAAATAACAATATTAAATTATATTAGTAATATACCTCATTAATAATGGCTTCTTTATTAGAATTTCCGACAAATTTTTTAATTGCGAACTTTGATGTATTTTTCCAACATACATTATAAACTAAGGCGGATGCTCCAGAAGAAATCTTATCGAGAACCTTAAAGCCCTGAGGATCATAATAATAGATTATTTGTGATACCTCGTCATCCAATAATATCTTTAGCCTGTTGGTATGACACACCTCGAGACGCAGCTGTTACAATATAAAAATCGATTTACTATATTAATAAGAGTTGGCGCAGCTAAAGTATTATTTGCGATTTGCGATTTTGCGATTTGTAGTCATTGTACTCGGTCAATTGAACAAAATCTTTTGCTGCGTCATAAAAAAAAAACCATTTAAATAGCGGGCTCTTTTCCTTTTTTTTTGTTGTGGCGCAGTTTCTTGGTCGATGATTTTAAAAACAATACTTTATTTATCAACGGGCTGATGTTTCGAGTTTCTAATAATTTTTCGTAATAAATTTTTTTAATTTAACAATTAAAGAGATAAAAGTGAATATAATTTTTAGACCTATTCAAAAGCAAAATATTGACTAGAATAAAAGAAATGAGAAAAAAGAAAAGAAATATTAGAAATAATGGTAAATGGTGGTTTTTATATAAAACCTGGTGCTACACACGGATAATATTTTTTCCACAATCATGATCATTTTTTCAATGGGCTAAATCTTTTTGTTTATTTTTTAGTATTACAACAGTTGAAATAACAACGCAGTGCAACGTTGTAATCTGTCACCCATACGCGATAAAATGCATTATCACGTGAAAATGACGAAATCACAATAATTATTTTTCGCTAAAGTGTATTTTTCCCAATGGATAAATACAACAATTTGATAATGTACCCGAAAAGTATATGAAAAAATAATTATGCAAGTTTGTTTTTACCAACCAATTTTTTTTAACAAAGAGTGTTTCAAAAAATTTGTACAAGAAAAGAAAAAAATAATTAAACCTTTTCACTTTGTGACGTCTAATCCGTTCCATCAACGCTAGTTTATTACAGGAGGATGTTTTTTTAACAAATTAATCCTTCTATATTAAATTTTTATTTTATAGATTTACTTAGTAATTTATATAAACAACTTTATTTAAGAAATAAACTTAATCATAAATCGGAATAACGTCAAATGAAAAATTATATTCATTATAATTACAATAATTCTATTTGTCACAAAACCAGTACAAAACTTGAACACCATGAATTTAATGTTTATTATAATCAAATAATTAATTAATTCATATTTTATTAGACACAGTAACGCGTAATGATCCGTAATATTATATTTTGATGATGAATTGCCATGTGTATATTGAACTCACTAAATACACTTATGCCTGCCCTTAATAATGTGGCTTTTCAAATGAATATTTTTCCATTTCATTTCGTTAATTATCGAGTATAATGATTTCAATTTACCGAATATTATGTTGAAAAGAAATTCAAAATATAATTTATATAAACATCACTTTAGAGCCCAATTACAAAATTTTTACCTTTTTTCACGCCTCTTCAAAAGATTCAATGGAATTTCTCCTATCAGTTACTATATTATAATAATTTATTATTTAAATACTAGTAATATAAATTTTACAAAACATCTATAACAGTAATACAAATATATAATTTATTGCTAAGAGAGTAATGACAAAAATAACATTTGATCATTTGACGTTACCGTTTACATTTTGCAATGAAAAAATGTCAAATGTTTTATGCATATTGTAAATAAATGGTTAAATGATTAGTATTGCGGTGTATGTTTATAAATGGGAAAATTACGCCAAATATTTAAAAGAACCAAATATTTAGACCATCATGCATATCATAATCAGATAAGGTTAATTCAACAGTCGCCCTTTATTTTGTCAAGATTAATTTTAAATTTTATTACGATTAAAAAAGATTCATAAATAACTGATTTTATTGGTAATAAGATTTTAATAATTTTATGATCGTTAACGAACAAATAAAATTTCCTCATTTCTATTGTGAAGTATGTATCAGTATGTATCGCAATTTTGGACAGTTAATCTTGTGTATATTTTAATGCACACTTTCATATGATCGTGCAGGATATCTTCAATTTTTTTAGCAGTACACTTTTGGAAAATATGTTAATAAGTCATAATAGTCGTAATTTTGATGTCCTAGTAAAAAAAATATTATCCATTTGAACACACTATTTATCCGAATTTACATAAAAACCACATTTATTATTATTTCATTATTTTCTCTTTTCCCCTTTTTTCCTTTTTCGTTTCTTTTATTTTATAGTTCTGAAATTATATAAATTATATTCACTTTCATCTCCTTTAATTCCGGTTAAATTAAAAAATTCATTGTTCAAAAGTTTATTAGAAACCCGAAACATCAGCCAGTCGATAAATAAAGAATTGGTTGAAATTATTGACCGAGAAAACTGCGCCACAACAAGCAAATCCCGCTATTTAAATGTTTTTTATGGCGCAGCAAAAGATTTATTAACGAAATTTTTACATAATAAGGAACCAATAATGCAAATCGCAAAATACTTGCGCCAACTCTAATTAATATAGTAATTAGGGTCGTCACTTCGTACAACTCTGAACGCATACGAAGGTTTCAAAGAATGGTTTAAGCTTCTCGGTTATTTCATTTTGTGTACGAATCACAACGCCTGGTAATAAGCAACGAGTAGGGTTAGATTATTACGTTGAAAAACTTGAGGAATGGATTCTTAATGAAATTCCTAAAAAAGAAAAAAATTCTAAATCTAAGTTGAATCATTCTAGCGATAATATTATTATATTAAATAAACGGGATGGTAGTCTCAGTATTAAAAACCATGTACAAACTAAATAATAATATATCATATCGTTGTTATCTCTCAATTACTTTTTTCGTTACCTTTCACCTACTACAGCGATGTCCTAGGACACGATGACCCGATAAAACGATAAAAAATGTGGAGATTTAACACTATGTATAGAGAAAACTATTATTTCTTGGACTATTACAACGTATATAATTTTTTTGATAGAATAATTTATTGTTTCAATGCAATGTAACTCATAAACAATACATTTCGGTTGGCAGTGATTTTCGCACGATAAATAAAAAAAAAAATAAATAAATAATAAATCTTCTATCAATTCGTAGTAGTCATACCGTGTCAATTATTAGATTTTTATTTTAAAAAAATAATTAAATTTTAAAAAGCTTCGGAACTATTACTATTACACTTGACAAATAATATTGAGATTACAAATAAATTAAAAGAAAGTTTTTCTCATTTGGAAAATGCAATCTTTCTGAATTACTCAAATTTTCAAATCAGTCCATTATAGTATTTTTTTTTTTTTTTTTTTNTTTTTTTTCAGTTCACGTGCGCATAGCGCATATTTTATTGATATAGATTGAGAATTACAGGATGTGAAGTTGTAGGTACAAGGTCAGATAGTAAAACTATATGGGACTACAAACCTTACAACAAGACTTAGTAGAAAATTAAATACATAAAAGACTACCAACGACAACTGAGTTAAGTTAAAATTACTAAAAAGGACTAAACTCCGCACCTTTAAAAGTAACGGAAAGAACAAGAACTATATACAAAAAATTTAACCACCCGGATCACATACCCCATAAAACCCAGGATTTCTTTACCAAATAATATATGCTCCTTAACGCTAATTAATCCCTCAAATAAAGGATAATTTCCCAAATATCTTTTTGATTGCAGTTCTTTTTCTTTTTCTTTCGTAAAAATAGAGTCAGGTTTCTTTTTATCCATCTTTGAAATTCCCAAGGATTTTTCTGTTTGCTTCATTGCTTCACATCTTCTTTTCCAAACACCTGAATTAAATTTTGTAAAAATAAAATTTAAAATTTCTATACCAATAGTTAGAGCTAATTTTTCTTTAGAAACTCCTAAAAAAAAAAGTATAATTCTTGATAAACTTAGAGGGAAAATTCCTTTTATCATATCTATAAAACAAAATTCATTAGTATATTTGACTCTTTGAAACATTGGGAGATCAATCAAATCCTCTTTTATAATTTTCTTTGCATCCACTCCATTTTGTATTAGCAAATCTATAAGTTTATCTATCGTTTCTGTTAATCAGTCCATTATAGTATAATCAACGGATAAATAAATACATAAAAATTTGCTACCCAGTAGGTATAACTACATTTGCATAATCGTGTAAATGGTGCCGATCGGGGAAGCTAAGTCATGTTCGTTCACGTGATCATAATCCAATCATAATGTCTACTATTTATAGTAGGTACGTGTACATCAGGTGATCGAACATGGCTTAGAGTGGAGATTCGTAGATCCTAAATCTAAGAGTATAACGCCCACCTATGAATCGATGGCTTTTATATATTTTTTCATAAATCATAAAAAAAAAATAAAATAAATTTTTAACGCATGTTACGCAAAATTTCAGATGATGTGGCAAATTAGTTTTTTTCCCATGTTAAATTGCAACCCCCTTTATTTTATTATCGAAATTATCGAAAAAAAATACTGAAATAAAATCTTTTTATTAAATATCAAATGAAAAAATTTTTTTATTAAAAGAATGACTTTTCTGGAATGCAAGAATGACTAAAAAAATCATATTCTTTTAGAAAACTTTAAAACTTAATAAAGAAACTTCTTACATTAATTAAAATATATAATATTCTAAAAAAATAAAAAATATTTCCTCATTTCGAATTCATGCAATTTTGTTTGTTTATGATTGATTGTTCATATTGTAGATATCGTCATATTTCAATTTTGTCATATTGAAAAAAAATTATAGAAGAAATCTATATAAGCATTATGATCATTAAAATATGCGATACCATAAACGAAATAATTTGATTTAATTTTTCTTTTTTTTTTTATTAATTTATTTCATATCTATATACAAAAGTATTATTTTCTTCATATTTGTTATAACAGAATGTATTAAAACTTTATTTAAATATGAAATTTAGTTTTCCAATCCGTAATCCGGCCAATCCGGATTGAATTCGGATATCCGTATCCTACATTTTTAGACGGATGGATCCGTTAGTGAATCCGGATGGTTATCCTAGGCTGCCGATCTCGCCATTTCGAAAATTTTCTCATGAACCGTCATAAGTCATGACTGATAACCTCTTCGTTAAAATTCGGATTAGGAAAAATCCGGATAGCTTAAAATCGGATGGGATGGATCCATGGATCCGTTGATTCAGATTATAATCCGGATGAGCTGTCAGGATCCGGATTGAATCCGGATGACTCTTTAAGAATATGATCGTATTCGCTTTTTATTAGATTTTTTAACTGTTGTTGTTGAACAATTGATGTATCATATATTACGCAATTATTTCATTTATATTCCTAATAAAAATGAAAATATTATTAATAAAATTAAGTCATTAAGCAGGAAACGTGAACTGCTTGGATGTCTGTAACACCACAGAATTTTTTTTATGCGCGTTAAAAATAATCGAGATATTGTTAAGGAATCACGTGACTCAAGCACCTTCACGTCGTCACGATTTCCTTTGACCAAATGAACAACATGTAAATGAAACTACAAACTATGAAAAAACGGAAAAATTACGCCAAATACATGTTAATGTACGATATCATAATGAAATAAGGTTAAAGACTTCATATCAATGTATAAAATTACCTTTATTAGTTTAGTTCAGAAACAGAGAAAAAATTTGTTTTATGTTGATTAATTCTAAATAAATATTATTACGATTAATCAGAGCAGTCGGTTTTTCAGATAGTAATACTAAATGTGTAGGGTGTAATACATTTTATGAATCCTAAATTTTTTGAAACTTAAAATCATTTATATGTCTTAACCGAAAAATCAGATATATATATAGTTTGGGAGTAATATTCTGGGAATTGACAAGTCGTAAATCACTTTTGATTTTGAAACAAAAAAATAATAATCGTTTGGAAATTATTGAAATTTAGTTTGATATCCTTAAAGTTATAAGAGAAAAACCTATTTTGGGCACAAATTTTAAATTTGTTGCGCTTTATAAAAGTAAGTATAACTTTACGCAATAATTTAAAAAAAAATTTTTTTTTTTACCGTAAATTTAAATTTAATTTATTTAAACAGAATATTGGGCAACATGAACCAGATGAAAGATCGAATATTCGTCAAGTAATTTTGGAAATTAATAATATTGAACTTTTAAATTTATCAAATAATTTTAAAATTGAAAAATTGAAAGAACAGAAATTGAAACGATAGAAAAATTAGAAAGTGAAGATTTTGACTTTCTTAGTTATGATGATTGTGACACAAAATTCCGATAAATATAAATCTTAGTGTAGTATTAAAATTGACGAAAATAAACGAACATTAACGAATGTTTTTCCTTATAAATTAAATAAAAATATACTAAGTTGAGTAAGGGTTATTATCACCAATACATTGAGGTACAGTCATAATCTTCAAATTTGGTACTTTAGCAGCTTTATTAATAATTTGAATTGCAACGTCAACAGTTTTTGGAGCAAAATCATGTTCGAGAGAAATGAACCCATTTCCCATTGTAGTGAAATTTTTCATCCAAGAATCAAAGGTATTTAGAACAGAGTCGTCTGTCTGAGTAGGAGGGTTGGAAGTAAGACCCCAATCATTACTATCGAAATTTAGAGTCCAAATGACGGCTACAAAAATAATAAAAAATAGGTTTATATTTGAAAAGAAGTGATATATATATTCAAATATTTTTAACATACTTTTCAAACCAACAGCATGAGCAATAGCACGAACACGATTATCAGTATCACCGTATGGAGGTCGCATATATAGAGGAGTAACACCAATAACTTCTTTAATAGCCTGGATAAAGAAATAGGAATTATATTAAATATTAAAATTCAAAAATTATATTAAAAATTTTGATACATAACAAGAAATTTAATAAAAAATGTGAACCTTCATAGTCCATTTTAATTCAGCAACGATGGTTTCATTCGGAAGGGAGGTAAGTGCCGGATGAGACCAAGTGTGTACTGCGATATTATGACCTAAATTTTTATTATAATTAATTATTTAAATTTTTTTTTAGTTATTCGATTGAGTAAAAATTTTAGAAAGAACAGGGGAGATAACCATACCAGAATCATAAGCAGATTTGAGAATTTGTGGATTATTGATAACATGGCTTCCTATTACAAAAAATGTAGCTTTAATATTAAGCTCACTCAAATTGGCTAATAACTTGGGTGTTGACTCTGATGGCCCGTCGTCATATGTTAGTCCCCATTCACCAACATTTGGACAAAATATAACATCGTCTTTTGCAGTGAATTTTTGGCAAGTCCAAGAACCTTGATCTGGTTTAATTACAGTCGGAGGATCACATTTAGGAGCTTGATGAGTAATAATTACACCACCATTTGAAATTGGAAGGTTTGGAACATTTGATAGATCTATTTCTTTTAACCATGCTTGGACTTGAGGGTGATTAGTGTCTGGTACTTCATCAGCAGGTGGATAGTCATTAATTGAAATTTGAGGGGGTGAAGCTGGTGAACCTGGCGAAGCAGCTTGGGGTAAGGCTTTTACCACACAAAAAGTAGCAAGAACGATTGTAATAATAAGAACTATCTTCATTTCGAATGAAGTCTATTAATTTATAGATAAGAATTTTTTTTTTCCTAGAATGATATTATTGAGTTGCCTTCGAGAGTAAAGAAGAGCGTTGAACAATAATTTAAAAAAAGAAAAGAAAAGAAATCAGGTTGTTTGTGCCTTATATAACCTAAAGGGACTTTAACATCCTTAATTACGATTCATTGATAATATCCAATGAATAAAGGAACGTTTTAATATTTTGCATGTTATTGATGGTAGTTGCAATTGACAAACATATGATTATTATTATTTAGTTTCTTATATTATGAAATTCTTACTTTTAGTTATTTTCACTTTAAAGAAATTACTGAAAATAATCAAGAACATGTTATCATCATTTACGCCTTGGTAAAACGTTACCATTTTCGAACACTGGATAGTATTGCATTGTATGTGAATGAAACTACATAAAGTAAAATTGTCAAAGATTGAAATTACGCCAAATACATTTTAATATATACAATTATGAATTTTTTTTTTTTTTTTTTTTTTTTTTTAAAAAAAAAATATATATGGAATATAATGGTTTATTAATTGTATTAATAAAACTCAATAGAAATTATAGAAAAACATTTAAAACTTTATATGTAAAATTCCATTGCGTAATACAAAAAAATTAATTATCTGTTCAATTCGGATTGGAAAAAATGAGTATAAACAAGTGGTATACAGGATAACTATTTAATTCCCTATTTTCACGTTGATGCTTTGGTTGTCGTATCCGATATGTAATATCATATTATAATAGTGCATTATCGACTGTTGTACACAGTTTCTCAACATCATTTGGAAACTAATGAAAATAAGTCGCAATATGCGGGGAAAAAATATTATCCATTTATAGTATCGTTTTATTCAAATTTTATTTTAAAATCACACGCATTGATTCTGGCCGGTGAACAGCATAGCGAACATCTCTATTTTATCACAAATTTGCCGATCATTTGCCGATCATTTATTTGATCTTATCACATAATACAAATGTCGTGACAGATCAATTTTACACAATAATAAATATAATAAATGTTTAAAATTTACAAATAACTTCACAGAATTTTAATTTTAATTAAAAACATAAAAATTAATACAAATACTAATAATTATATTATAGTACTAATAATTTAACCATGTTTAGTATAATATTTCAAACAGATTATCTATATTACTTTCTATTATTTCTAAATTATTTTCAATATTCTCATCATTATTATCTTCACTTAAACTATTATCATCTTCATCTTCAACTAAAAGTTTTTCATTATCTTTAATGATGTAAATAATCTTTTTTATTAGAAATATAATAATAACAAATAATTGGCTAATTTCTCTATAAGCAAAAAACCTGCATTATGGGTCGAAACCTTGCATTATTTTTTTTACAGATTATATATAATAAANAGCATAGCGAACATCTCTATTTTATCACAAATTTGCCGATCATTTGCCGATCATTTATTTGATCTTATCACATAATACAAATGTCGTGACAGATCAATTTTACACAATAATAAATATAATAAATGTTTAAAATTTACAAATAACTTCACAGAATTTTAATTTTAATTAAAAACATAAAAATTAATACAAATACTAATAATTATATTATAGTACTAATAATTTAACCATGTTTAGTATAATATTTCAAACAGATTATCTATATTACTTTCTATTATTTCTAAATTATTTTCAATATTCTCATCATTATTATCTTCACTTAAACTATTATCATCTTCATCTTCAACTAAAAGTTTTTCATTATCTTTAATGATGTAAATAATCTTTTTTATTAGAAATATAATAATAACAAATAATTGGCTAATTTCTCTATAAGCAAAAAACCTGCATTATGGGTCGAAACCTTGCATTATTTTTTTTACAGATTATATATAATAAAAGGAATGTTCATGCAAAATTTCAAGTTTCAGCTTTGCGTATTCGGCTTCGGCCTTCAATTTTTATCCCGAAACTTCAAATTATCACATATTAATAATTTTGCATATAAAAATTAAAAATTATATAAATTATTTAATCTAAAGTTATACAACAATAAAAGGTGGCATATTTTATTTTTTTCTTATTTAGGCATTTACTTTGCCTTGCACTTTTACATAATTTAATCATTTTTTAATAAAATGAAACTTGTGATCGGCAAATGATCGTCAAAGTGATATAAAGCATGTTCGCTATGCTCCCGGTGAACCGGGTCCTCTGGAATTTTTTGATTTGTAATTATTTGTAATCATCCGGACCCATGCGTCATTACATGGAACCCGAGCTGGGAACTTGGGGATAATGTATTCGTTGCGCCATCTCTTATTAATTATTCTGAATTCATACTGTGTAATAGCTGCTTCTCGAAGAGCGTCATACCAACAAAGATAAAGATACTGTATCAACAAATAATTTATTATTATGATCCTCAAGTTTTAAGATTCTTAATAAGATTTCTTCTGGAGCATCCATCTTGGTTTCCACCTTGGTTAATAATGTATGTTGGAAAAGTACATCAATTTTCACAATCAAAAAATTCGTCGGAAACTCCAATAACGAAGAAATTATTAACGAGGTGTGTTTGCTGATGCCGTTTGATATTATTATTTAATTTTAAATTTATTAAATTTATTAATTTTTTTTTTTCTAGAATCATTTAACTGGAATGGTTAATCTTTATCCAAATATAATTCAATTTTATGGAGTTACTAAATTAAAAGGTAAAATAATTTAATTTATTTGTAATGACTTTTTTTTTCCAAAAGTATTTTGTTTATATGTTTTTTTTCATACTTTAGATGAAATAAATTATTCACTCGTACTTGAAAGTGGAACATTAGGAAAATATTTAAGAGATAACATTATAACCTTTAAATAAGAGAGCCAATTAAAGTTTGCCAAAGAAATTTCAAGTGCGACTTCATGGTTACATATTGATAAGGGAATTATACACGGAGACCTTGTAAGTATAATGTATTAATTTTATCTTATATTTCTTTTATATTTATTAGTATCTAATTAACATATTCTTTTTTTTTAACATCCTAATAATATTTTAATTCAAAAAAGATACAATCAAATTTGCAGATTTTGGACGTTCATTTATAAAAGGGCGGATCCGATAGTAATACTGATACGGGTGTAATATCTTATATGGATTCATTCGTGTCTTTTAACCGAAAAATTCGTAATATTCTGGGAATTAACAAGTGGTAAAACCACCTTTCGATTTTGAAACAAAAAATAACGATCTTTTTGAAATTTTTAAAATTAAGTCTGATATTCTTAACGGTAAAAGAGAAAACTCTATTTCAAATCCCTATAAGAAATATGTATACGGAAAGGATACGTTTTGTATACATTTTACGTACGTTTCTATAGATTCCGTATACAAATTCCGTATATTTAATAAGCAATTAATTTTTGAAAAAACTAATGTATAAGAAAATGTATACGGAAAAAATTAATCATGCGGAATGTATACGGAATTTTTAAACTTAACGGTTAATATATTTAGAGATAATTTTACAAAAATTCCGTATCATAACACGAGATCACATGATTGTTTATTGTTTTGTTATGATACGTTTTTTGTTTTTATATAAACCCTTACTTTGATGAGTTTGATCTTCCGATTTTCCTTTCTGTCTTTCCTTTCCTTTCTCTTTCTCTTGTCTTATTTTTGTTATTTTTTCTAAATTTTTCTTCTTACTTCGTCACCCCCTTTTAAAAACAAATTTTTTTTTTTTCGTACCTCACTTTAAAAAAATTTTTTTT